ATATACCAATCTGGACATCTGGTGTCCCTTTCCGCATGTTTCTTCTGCTCGCGGAACCACGGGAGAAACCTGTCCCTTTTCCCCTCCACCGTTCTTAAATCAAAACTCTGTGATGTTAAAGTTCGTTGATCTTTCATCATAAGTTCATTATGTTAACATTAAATAATGATGTAATTAGACTCTTCACATCCTCAATGAATCCATTACAATATCTCATTTACTGTTTTTTATGAAGGGATAGTACATATAAACGTATACGGATACGGTATTGGGTAAAACTGAGTTGAGTACCGGATACGATATTGAATAGAACTGAGTTAAGTATATTAGTCCAGCCCTCAAAAACCATTCCCATTTCTCATGTGGAAAAATTGAAAAAATTAATTGCCTACCCTTTTTCAGAAGCAGTCCTTATCACCATAACATCTCTATCTCATCCATCCCTCTTATCATAATAATCCTTCTTACTCTCATAGCTGAATCGATTTTTTAAACTAGCCATTTCCCTCGTCTAAGGAAAAAAAATTGTGCCCACAGGTGGACGTCACCCTGAATGATGCTTTATCGATAGCCGTTGCAAAAATCGAAATTACCACTATGTGTGTCTGTCTCTTTCTGTGTATGTGTGTATATGTGAGTATATGTGTGTATGTGTGGGTATGTGTGTGTATGTGTATGTATGTGTATGGGTGAGGATTGTGGGGTTATAAGTGAGCATAGTGATTCAAAGTATTTCATTATGAGGAGGAAGCGCCATTGGTAAGTGAGACTTTTGGCAAGTGAAAAATTGCAAAAAGCAATGTATGCAAGATGAAAAACGGGTCTGAGAAACGCGGGAATCTCTCAGACGAATCACCCGAGGAAATGAGCAGTTGAATTTGCCATGCATAAGGATATACAAGAAGGTTGCATAGAAGAGTTGACCGATAGGGTGATAAATGTATGTGGTCAATCTTCTGTTCTATCAATTTGGTGGAAGGAATACAAATAAGATTGAATATCACTTCAGAGCATATTTGATATCATTCGCACTTCAAATGTCCATTATTACACATCCTTTAAGCAAATAATAATTATTATTATCATAACTAATTTACAAAAACTATGTTAAGTTTGTGTTTTACCATAATCAATAATGGCTATTATAATGATATGATATTACATCATTAAAATAAAAATGGAAATGAAAAAGAGAAAAAAAAAGAGTTGCAAAGTTTTACAGATAATATTTCAGCAAAAGCTTACATATTTGAACAGCTGTATGGCATTCCTCTTATCACACATAGACATTTCATTTCGTGTAAATGGCTTGTATGTCTACCTTTTTTTTTAAAAAAATTATAAAAATAATGCAAATTATCTGAAAAATTTTAAAGGATTAATGAGCTGAAATGAGTGATTTAAGACAATTAGCCAAGATGGATAGATGTAAAATTTTAGCTTTATTTATAAACTGATGACATATATATATATATCATTTATGTGTTGAATTCGTATTTTATCATTAATAATCAATAATGGCTACTATAATAATACAATATTACTTTATTAAAATAATAATGAAAACGAAATAGTAATGATGTATACATATATATATATAGCGGAAGTAAATTAAGTTTAAAAATCATTGCAAGAAATTTATAAATTTATGCTTAAAATTAAACACAAATATTGGTTTATTTTTTGCTTCTTTTCTTTTTTAAACTACAAATATAAATTTGAAATATTGAGGAAGACTTGTTTGGATTTGAATATTTCAGGTAGAACATTTCGTTAGGTAGGACATTTCAGCACATTGCTGTAGTTAATTCCTTGTGACAATCGCATGATAGCAACGGCCATTTAAGTTGCTTTGATAGAACTGGTTTTCCACCATTTATTTCTTCTTTACTGATGACGAAATGGTTAAAAAGAAAAAAGATGAAGAAGACGAAGAAGGAAAAATGAAAAATGATCAATGTTTTGGCGAAATTATGATTTCTTTTTGGGGTCTTTTCATTCATTCAAATAAAAAATTATTGCATCTTTTTTCTCTTCTTTTTTTTCTTTTGAAATGCAAACAGCAATATGTTTAAAAAGGGGAAATTACTTTCAATGAAAATTTCAATGATAAAAATAGTGTCCATGCTATAATATGAAATTAAATAAGGGAAAAAAATGGGTTAGTTTAATTTAAAGCGTAAATAATACAATAATATTATGCAAAAATTCTGCAATTAGATTAATCTTATAGCCAGAATAAGCGTTTTTAGTAAAGAAGCATTTCAGTAGTAGGAGTAATTAATTTCTTATTTAAACTATCAAATGGGAATTAATTAAGAAATGAAGCATTTATGGAATAATTTTCCCAAACATAACAATTTATATTAAAAAGACAACATCTGTTAATAGTCTGCTAACTTTGTGCTATTTAGAGATTAAACTATTTATTACGTCATTGAAAAAGTTAAAATTACTGACCATTTCAATACAATTATCTTTTAAACTTGAAATTTCTGCAACAAACGGAACAATGGATTGTAGCAACTTCCGACAATATCTGTGTAATACGCTATTAGTGGTCTACAATTTATGATCCTTTGGATAAAAGATAAAAAAGAGAGGCAAATGTGTTCCAACATTGAACTGATTTAAAATCAAATTCGTAATATTTGCAATTTCCAAAAATTTAAGAAACTTGAAATTAAAATGTAAAAACTTTATCCAAATAATTTCTGTGAGGAAAAAAAAACATGATATACATACATTAGTGATATTATACATCATCATTTGAGTTGAATTTGCTGTAATACATCATTGGTTTTTTAAGATGACATATTTCGAAAAACGGTATTTAAGTATATATTCCGGTTTTTAAACATATATTTTGCGTAGCTTATTAAGCAACTTGTTAATTTGCCCCATTCTTACATGATATCAAACTGATTAGTTTATCACAAATACCGGTAAATCGTTATTTATGTATTCATTGTAGATGTTGATGAATTTTTTTTTGTTCAGAATTATGTAATCAAAATCACTTAAATTATTATTTCCATACTCTTACCAAATGTTTCAGGTAGATTCGGAATAACAATACATTAATTTTCTTGAATTTAATGAGTTCCCACTTTATTTCAGGCAAAATTTATTATCATTGCTCGAATACCTATGAAATCGTTTACTTAAATTAAAGAATTTGCTGGATATTTATAGGAGGAAGTGGAATAAATTGTCTGATTTTTAAAGAATATTTTCTCATTTTAGTTTTAGATATCTAATCTTCCAATAAAATGAAAGAAAAAATATACTTTACTTGAATCATAATTAATCACGAGATCCAAAATTTACTACATTAAGCACCAGGACCTTCCGATCTTAACACAGTAATTAATCATGCATTTTTGGTTCAGGAAAAAAAAGTAATAGATTTCCTGAATCGTTTCTGAACACTTCGGTAATTAAGCCATTGAAAAAGTTTTAAAAGTTAGTTTATAAAAGATTCACGTGTGGTTGATGCTGTCCGTGAAGTTTTGACGTTTAAAATGACAAATTACTCATTTACTATTTCATCAATAGTATCACCTCTATCCATTTGTGTCATCGATTACACTCGTATCGACGGATATTTCAACATAACCTTTCATCTATACTGGATGTAACATCATAATGATCTATCGCCGATAATATGTAAATTTTTGATAACAAACATTTGTTTATTGTAGCTACAATTACAGCTAACAGCGGAATAACATTGAAAGGAAAGAGCCACAACAGGATTGACCTCCGACTAATTCCGAAACGGTTAAACGGGCGAATGCAGCCAAAGTTAGTAGCTTTAATTGGAAGCCGCCAACATTCTTGTTAAAGTAAATTGTATTGTACTCCTCCATTCGAGCCATTTCCTGACCGGATCCTTCTAACACGCAGATCCATACCGTAACTCTGAAACTGTCAAATGTTATTTGTATGCGATAATTTGTAAAAAATTTAGTTTATAATAAATCAACTGATTCATACTCTTCCTCAATTTCAAGGAAGAAATCCAGAAAAATTATCATGATATTCTCATTATCATGAAAATTTACAAAAAAGGAAAGACACAATATGTAAAAATCGAAGATATATTTGGAAAAATTGATATTTTTCCCACACAATTACTTAACTTTAGAAAAATTCTTTGACAAACCATTAATAAAGTTATGTATAATCAAATTTGCTTCATTTTTATTTTAATTTTCATTAATCAAAGTAAGTTTCCATCTAACGATTTGTCTGATGTTTATTTAAACTACTTATACAAATATATTCTAGCAAACTTGAAAATTTGTCATAAATGAGTGACATAAATTAGAATGTCTAAACCACTACTTTTTAACTGCCTACAATATGTGCTATTAGAATACGAATTATATATTTCATTACATTATATCATATCATACATCATATCATATCATGTTATATTAATATTATATTATATTATATTATATTATATTATATTATATTATATTATATTATATTATATTATATTATATTATATTATATTATATTATATTATATTATATTATATTATATTATATTATATTATATTATATTATATTATATTATATTATATTATATTATATTATATTATA